TTGTGTCAACGGCGCCTACAATTACCATCACTACATGCAAGTATGCTGTATTTCATTAAATTACGTCACGGTCATCTTTTATTGGCTGCTCTTAGTCTTTCCATTACAGCACTTTTCCCCATTGCAAATTTTCTAAGACAGCAAGTTATCCAGTGCAGGTGCGTAATTTTGTGCCAGAACACCTTCATTTGCTTAGGGAACGTTGGAAAAGATGATGCGTGGAATTGATGGAGGCAACTGATTAGCAAGTTCAGCTAGTTGCGGTAGTACCATTTACTGACGAATCCTAGGCAGCTTTGTTTGTTCACTAACGAATCAAGCCTGCGAACAGACTTGAGAATGTTGTAATATTAACACATAGCTGCTCCTCATCATCACATTACAACATCCGTTTGGCAAGTTTTTTCAAAATTTAGCTTCATTTAAGTGTTTCAGAAATTTTAAAGATGCAAACAATGAATATCTCTGGCTAGGGAATTGGAAGAAGACGCGGGCCTGAAGTCTTCTATGTGTGTTAAATTTAATTTCATTTAATTTTTATGTGGACGGATAGTTGTTCCATTTGGGGATTTTCGTATTACAGGATGGGATAGATGATAGTGGCTGGGGATGCGCATATCGCTCCTTCCAGACAATCTGGTCTTGGTTTGTTTTGCAAGGTTATATCGATAAACCGGTTCCAACGCATCGTGAAATTCAGCAGGTAATAATTATTCACTCTCTTATTTAAGTCTCGTTTTTTAGTTTTTATTATACATTAGCTCGGAAATCAGTTCCCACTTTTTCCTCCTTGCCCTCTCTCTCTCCCAAATTTTACTTGCATTGGGAAATGGAGTTACGAGCTGTATCGCTTTGTCATCAACAATTACCTTTTGGTGAGGCTAACTGAGGTCACACAAAAGCAAGTTGTAAGCGGAATTTCCTCGAATGCATTTTTACTAATGTTTGAAGATGTTTAAATGAGCCGACCATAAGCATCGATTCGAGAAAATCAGAGCGCAATGATGTAAATGAATTTTGAGAACTTGCACGACTGTGGCGATAAAGACGCGAAATTTGTGGGTAGCCGACAGTGGATTGGATCCATAGAGCTTGGCTACTGCTTGGCAAATATGGCCGGTATTGATTCGCGAATAATAACGACCAACTCCGGCAAGGAAGTGGCGGAAAATGCACGTCAGTTGACGCTTCACTTCAAAATCTATGGTACTCCAGTTATGATTGGTGAGCTTTGTCTTCGTCTTCGTTTTATTTTTTTAAAGAAAAAAGAAAGAAGAACGGATATTTTTATTTGTAAGTATCTTCGTGGACCCCGCAACGGCAGTCGAAGCGGTTCTGATAATTTTGATGTTTTAACCATTAAATTGTAAAGCTACTTGCCTCTTTTTGCTAGTCGTCATGTTTACCACCCCCTCTCCCTTGAACCCGTCTATGTTTTATGGAGGACAGTTTACGGATTGCTGTTCTAGGTTTTTTTTTTTTTTAAAAGTTGTAATCTGCAGCAACTGTTTGCTCTTTAAACAAAGACATGGTTTCAAGTAGAATGCGACCCTAAGTATTGATGTGACTGAAATTTGGTCGTAACAGCACCATTATTTTAGGCGGCGGAATGCTGGCCCATACGATTCTTGGAGTGGATTTCAATGATTCAACTG